AACTAACCTACGAGATGTTCGAAACCCGTCAGGCGCTTCTCATGCCGAAACTGCTTTTTGATAAACTTCTTCTCGGCAAGACGTCTAGAAAATGGAACGAAGTAAAATAAACTGAAAGGGGCGAACCTACTTCAATGACTTCTTTGCCTTTTTCGGCTTGTAGGTCTCCGGATTTGCGAGCGGTGCCTACAAATGTTAGAGCTAGTAAAACAAAGACAAAGTGCTGCATACATTTGCCTTCTTGGACAGTTTCACTTTCAGCAGTTCTTCTTGCGCTGCCCGCTCCATTCGACGAGAAAACGCTTCCTCAGATTCCTTTTTGCCAATTTTCGGTGGTTTCGTGGGCTGGAACTTCTTCATGCCCTTAGTGTCGCCAACATCTGGCGAGAACAGAGATAGGGCTGAGGCACAAATGCGGCTTACCTGGATCCAGACGAAACGGACGTTTGCTCTCCATGTTCTGCTTCAACCACATCATCTCACGAAAACTAGCTGGAGGCTTCTGCTCGTCATCATCGAGTGGATCAAGATTTGTGGTACCATCTCTAGAGACTACAATGTCTGACCGTTAAGGCAACTTACTCTGAGTTAACGGCCAGAGGAGTGGCAATTTTTTTCAGCTTTTTATGTTTGTTGGTTTTGAGATGTCGGGTGTATAATACTGGACGAATGGGTTCAGATTCGTGTTTCTTCCTCGCCTCTTGTTTGAGTTTAGTTCGGCGAATCCCAAATTTCTTGGCTGAAAGAAAGCTAGTAACCATGTTAGACAAACATACTCTGCTTTCCTTTTTTCTTCATTCTGTTAGGAAACTGGTGACAACCTGAAAATGAATACAAAAATTGTAAGCATGATCCTCCAAAGGCAATATTATCGAAGATTATATTCTGGACCGGAGGACTAATTGGATAGTAATATAGGATAATAAACGCGCAAAATGAGCTTCGCCTTTTAATAATTAAAACGACAGTGTTAGTTATGATCTACGCACTGAAGATAAGTCACGTGCTAGACCTAAGACTAACACCAAAACTAAGTCTCGGTCAGATGCTATCAAAGGGATGGTGAAAAGACACACGAAAATTCCGTTACCGCTGTAATCAATCGCTCAAGTACCAGAAATTGTCCAAATATTTATGTGTCAAACCGTAAGTCTATTTGACGACTACGTGACGCTTTTACGAACAGGTGGATAATGCAGCAGGCAACCTGCCGGACAAACAGGCTTTCGGCTCTGAAAAATAAGTAGTCGCGGACGAGCTGCGACTGTGATGGCCCATGCAGAAGATTACGGCCTAGCAAGTCGACTGCCTTGTAAAATATCGCAGTCCGATAACGGCACTGTGGCATGGCAAAAGTGAACCATCATAAAGCAAGGCTGCTTGCTACCGCTGCACAGTGACCAGGATCCTGAGTGAAGTTACTAGAAGATAAATATCAAACAAGCAATCTAAGCCGTATTAAGGGGTTTGCTAGTACCCAAATCTCTTGATAAATCCCATAATAAAAAGTTGAATTCAACTATTCGATTTTATTCTAAGGCGTCTTCGAGGACCAAAGCGTTCTGCAACTCCATTTCAGTGGTGGGATACAGAAAGGTGCGGTCAGGACTACGCAATCGGGAATGGATCATTGGTATGGAATATTGAAACATGCAAATGATCCTGAGACAGGGATCCAAAGCCCAACGATCGGTGGTCTTCTTCAGTACAACATACGTGTTTTAAGTCAAAATCCTCGACCCGGAGCAGCATGAAATCAGGATAATAGAGGTCAACCTGAACCTCACCCCATACGATGGTGACTTAGGCGACCTTTCCAGTGGTTCTGGTGTGGCGATTGCCCTGTCACGATAAGACTGAGTGACCTATGTAGGACCTAAGGAGTACTTAACTCACATTTACGTTGTCTCGCTCTTGCAATTCCAGTAATCGCTCATGTAATGATGTGATAAGGTGTGCCATCGTTTTAACAGTGCCATTGACAACCAACCAATAAAGTTCTAAGAAGACGACGGTCGTCTCGAAGCGTGTAAATTGATATCCCATTCAAATTTCGGTGCTAATTTCTGCTATTGTTTAGTTCGGTCAACCCTCTTAGTTCACGATGCCCGATGCTCGATGATCCGAATAGTCCCTATATCTCCAAAGCTCTGGACTCTAAATAAAATGTCGTAAGGCTCCAAAACGCAGACAATGTCGGCTTAAGGCGTATAATATTTTCTTTATCGTTGGTTTTGTCTGCTACAAAAAAAGTCAGCATCGAGAAAATATAAAAGGTCGCAAACAAATCCACCAACTCTGTAAACGTCTGTGGTTTTGTCGCCAGGTTAAACCGATGCTAATGAACTGAAGATGATCAAGTGGCAGGATACTTGTACCTCCGGATAATATTAAGACCCCAACTCATGTATCAGATATCAAACTTTTAAATGAATCACCAATCGGGACTATCTGCTAATCAGACTTCCATCTAGAACCCTTGAAAACCTGCTCCGCCGACCGCAGTGGGAACTTATCCGCGGCGTAACATTAACATTTGTTAGTTTTATAACGCCACCTTGGTGTGCGGATCTGAAATGTCAAATAAACTATGTTTGCTGAAGATATAGTTGAAGATTACGGGACAGACTACACTGGCCTATAATGCCGCCGACTCTGAAGCCGGGTAAAACAGCATGGATTCTGACCGTTGTGAATATAGCTACGAGATATGCTTATATAAGACAACCTATGGGGTACGTTAATGTCGAAAATTGTGGAGCTGTGTGCAATAGCACGTGCACAAGTTGAGAAAAAAATAAAATATGCTTATGGCAACTATTTTTCTCGGTACGTCGTTTCAGTCCTTTATCGCAAATTATAACATGACGGGCAACATTAGATGATACAGCGAAGTGAATCTGACAAAGAGCTGGTTACTAGCAGAAATCGTGACGGTATCCAACCACAAGCTTATACGTATTTTTTAACTTAGCGACACCGCTTGGGTGGGTTGCCATACTAACTCTTGTGGACATAAATCATAAAATTAAGATGGCGAAGCCGGATGCCCAAAAGGAAGTACGGCAGTCAAGCAGCGCAACCGAATATCGACACATCTATTCAAGTAACTTATGGGCTTACATATCCGACGATCGGCATTTTTAAACACGTTGTTAGTTTCGAGCTCATTGCTTAAATCCACTTCGTTTGCCTTTGTGTCAATCGCACAAAAGCCTATGCTGCTGTAACAGCCGTGGCTAACATAGCAGCGCAATAATCATACAAAAGATTCGTAATAAAGACCGATGTGGAGGTTTTTAATGGACAATCGAAGACGCTAACTAAAACTCGCTGTACTGTCTGTAAACTAAACAACATTTTGAAAAGTTCAATATTCTCAACCGTCAAAGACACCCCGTTCTGTTTGCGTTAAAACACGTGGAACAAGTTCTGGGATTGATAGGGATCTAGATCCCACCGTTTTGGTTTCATCTAGCACTTTCAATGATCGCAATGAGCAAAAAGCCTAAAAAACATTTCAGAATTGCTAAACGGATAATATTAATTATTGACTGCCCGTGTGCAGACCGTGGTCTATTGTAATATCATAATTATGAGATATCTACCGACATCTGGGTGAAGACATGACGAAGGTTTATTACACTCGCATATAATTTCATTGCGAGAATCGTTCGATATTTTGCGTACACATAACGATAGTACTTGGTCAATTAATTCCGTCAAACATGGTCTAAACTAAAAGAGTAGTAAAACCACATGGCAGAGTGACGCACCCCCCCTAAAACCTGCTTTGCTTTTTCGCCAAATTTTCAGTGTAGTAAAATTTTCCTGAGCAAGAAATGTAAAATAAATTATCGATAAAAAGATTGACTATTTTTAGATTCCCGATTAAAATATTATTATATTACAAAATCCACCTTTTGACATTGCTGTCATCACAGACTCGAGTCCATATAAATCGCTTGAGTAGACACTTCGCGGCGACTCATAAAGGATCAGTGTAGACACATTGTAGTATCCTGGACCTTTTGAGACTTGTAGAGGCTAAATCACTACAAATATACAAAACGCCTAAGTAAATACGCAATGGAAAACTTTCT